CTCTCTCTCTCTCTCTCTCTCTCTCTCTCTCTCTCTCTCTCTCTCTCTCTCTTGCGCGCGCGCGTGCGCCCGTGCACACACACACACACACACACACACACACACACACACACACACACACACAGAGGGAGGAGACCTTGGAAAAATGGCGAGGGAGGAGGAGGTCGGCAATTGAGGAACCTACAAGGACGGAGATGAACGCAGTGTGAGGCGGCCAACCTTGAGCGACCGTTTCAAATGTTTGAATTCAATTCAGAGTCCCAGATTGCAGCGCCTAGGGCCTGGGTATTCTGCAAGTTGTCCGCAGCGTAGGCAGGGGCAAAGCGGGTAAAACAGGGTGCTTACGCTGCAAAGCGCGTAAAACAGGGTGCAGGCCCAGGCCCCAACGGGGAGGTGCAAATAGGCCCCAACGGGGAGGTGCAGATTGCAAATTTGCACCCCGGCCTCACAGGGGCATAACACAAAGATTTTGGCCCAAAGGACATTCCGCTCCACCCACATCTTTTAGGGGCATCTTGGCACTTATCTCAACTTTGAGGGGCATAACGCAAATTCTCCCTTCTTTCTTTTATTATTTGCCTTTTCTTTTAAAGAAAAGCGCAATGGCCTTGAGATATCATCATTCAACTGACCGGCCCTAGGTAATTCAGAATAATTGCAATATTTTACTCATCTGCTTCATCTGCTTCGAATGGAGTTCGAACTCAGCTCTGTACTTCAACAGTTCAGTTCAAGGGTGTACCAACTGAGCTTTGGAACAAAAAAACCTCGGGCTTCGCTCCAGTACAGAACACTCTATATGTATTTTTAACTATTTTAGGATGTCATAATCATCCCGACACATTCAAATTTCAAACTGTTGAACTCCCCCGAATGCAAAAGTGCAGAAACGCGTCCAAATTCATGTAGAATGTTGAGTAGTGGAGCGAGGCCCATCATTTCGTCAAACCTGTAGATCTATTTTCCAACAAATTGAAAAATGCCATTATCATCACCGTGACGAGGGACTGGTAAAGCCTTGCTCTAGCACCACTGCTGTGGTGCCAACCTACCCGGTGGGCTAGGGAGAGATCCCAGTTGGTTGGTGTTCCCCCCTACTATATACATAGACTACCTTCTTCCCCCGAATACAACGTACGGTCATCATAGCTGTATCTAGGCTGAAAGATGGCTCAATTACAGCTATAATGACCGTACGTTGTATTCGGGGGAAGAAGGTAGCCAGAGGATGAGATAGATGAGTACTGGCAAGAAGATGGGATAGTTGAGAGAAGAATATAGCTTACTTTTTTTCTTTTTCCTTTTTTAAATGCAATTATGTGAAAGGAATTCGCATTAGTTATAAAGGCCAGTTGCACTGCCATAATTTTCTGTTTCCACCAAAGCTGCTTGACCCACCAGTATGTTTGTCGGTGATCGTCTGCCACGGGGACGTATGCGCGCCACAAGTTGCAGAGGTCAGCCTATCGGAGCCGAATGGCTGGCGGCACCCGCCCAAAGAAGGGACGCAACAATTTGTTTTCTTATTTGGCATGCAGGGCCTTTCCAGGCTAGGCAGGGTAAGGGTCAAAAACAACTGGTGGTGATTAAAAATTAATAAAATAAAATAAAATAAAATAAAATAAAATAAAATAAAATAAAATAAAAAACTGGTGGTTTAAAAAAAAACACAAGTTCGCCTGCAGCTAAGTGGGGCTCTTAGTCCGATGATAATACATCAAGACCATCGCCCTTTTAAAAAAAATAAAAAATAAAAAAAAAATGGAGCTCTTACAAGTTTATTTATGGGGTAAGGCCACGTGAGATACCGTGATAATGACCATGCTTAAAAAAAAAAAAAAAAAAAAAAAAAAAAAAAAAA